CTTCTAGAGTATTAAAGTTCAAGACTCCTTATGAAGTCCTTTTTCAAACCAAACCTAGCTATTCTAATTTAAGATGTTTTGGTTGTCTATGCTTTGCCTCCACCCTTTCAAGACATAGATCCAAATTTGACTCAAGGGATGTTCCTTGTGTATTTTTAGGCTATCCACAAGGCAAAAAGGGTTATAAGGTGGTTAATCTGAAGACATTAAAAGTTTTTGTGTCTAGAGATGTAATATTTCATGAGGAACTTTTTATATTTGCTTCTATCAAATCTGATTCTATAGGGGCTTCTTATCTGCCAACAGCCGCATTGAACAATTCATTTCCCTTAAACTCAGAATCCTCCTCACTTTTGGTTTCATGTGACAACCAATACTCTACTTCTACCCCTTCTCCTACCTCTACTGTTTCTTCTTTTCCTACTCTTACTGTTTCTTATCCAACTTCTTACCCTGGTACAACTCTATTCCCTAACAGCCCATTACCAGTTGGATCATCACCAGGCTGATCCTCTTCTAGTATCCATTTTCCTTCACTGTCTTCACATGTTTCTCAACCTATGGTAGATACTCTAATTAGAAAATATAACAGACCTCACAATCCTCTTACATACCTCAAGGATTACATTTGTAATGCTCTTCACCTCTCATATGTGAGTACTACATGTTTTCTTGCCCCAGTCTCTCCTCCATCCTTGTCCTTTAGTAATCTTTCCAGCACTAACCAACATATGCTCAATTCTCTATCTAATATGCATGAACCTTTTAGTTATTCACAGGCTGCACATCACCCAGGGTGGTAGGAAGCCATGGAACAGGAAATTGCTGCTCTTGAGCTCAATAAAACTTGGAAAGTTATAGAATTACCCCCAGGTAGAAAGGCTTTACCTTGCAGGTTGGTAGTGTGGAAAGGCTAAAGGCTAGGTTGGTGGTAAGAGGTGATATACATAGAGAGGGGATAGACTTCAATGAGGCCTTTTCCCCAGTGATCAAGATGGCCACCATCAGATGCATTTTAGTTGTTGCAGTTAAGAAAAGTTGGGGTCTTTATCAATTGGATGGGAACAATGCGTTCTTACATGGTGATTTAAACGAAGAAGTCTATATGAAATTCCTAGTTGGATTTACACCACCTTCTCCTAACCATGTTTGTAAGTTGAAGAAGTCCATTTATGGACTTCGTCAAGATTCTAGGCAATGGTATTCTAAACTTACTACTGCTCTTAATTTCAAGGGCTACACATATTTATTGAACGATTACTCTTTGTTTTTTTAAACGGACATATTTATCTATCTCTATTGTGGCAGTATATGTCGGCGATATATTACTAATAGGTAATGATACAAAGGAATTGACTGAATTGAAAGAATTTTTACATCAGGAGTTCAGAATCAAGGATCTTGGACACTTACATTATTTTTTAGGAATGGAAGTTCTACGAGAGTCTCATGGTTTGATTCTGTCTCAGCGGAAATTCACCCTTGATTTACTGCATGAATTTGATTCTCTCCACAAGTCGCCTGTTTCTTGCCCTCTTGACCCATCTGCTTGCCTACTTGCTCAGACTGGTGACTCTATCCCTTACCCGACTTTGTATCACTATTTGTTGGGCAAGCTAAATTACTTGATACATACAAGAACGGATTTATCCTACACTATACAACACCTTAGCCAGTACATATAGGATCCTAGACAACCTCATATCAATGCTGCACTTCGTGTCCTCCGCTATTTATTGAAGGATCCTGGACTTGGGCTCTTTATGTCTTCCTCACCTTCATACCAGCTCCTTGCATTTTGTGATTCCGACCAGGCCACTTGCCCTAATTCGTGCAAATCCGTCAGTGGGTTCTACATCTCTCTTTGCTCATCCCCAATTTCATAGAAATCAAAAAAACAAACATCCATTTCTCTCATTTCTGCAGAAGCTGAATACCGTTCAATGCGACGAGTTGTGGCTGAGCTCACTTGGTTGGTACGCTTATTTGATTATCTTTCTACCCCAATTTCACTTCTTGTTCCTCTTCATTCGGACAGTCAGACAGCAATTCATATTGCACGAAATAACTAAACATGTCGAACTAGACTGTCATTTCGTCAGACAACAGTTCCTTGCCGGCCTAATTTCACTCTCATATGTTCGCTCCTCTTCTCACCTCGCAGATCTGTTCACCAAGTCTCTCACAGGGCCGATTCATCACCATCTTTTGAAGAAGTTGGGTGTCCTTTCACCCCCCTCCAACTTGGGGGGGGAG